AAAGTATGTCTCACGGATAGGTGATGCCCATCAGACGATATTGATCAGAGCAATTCCAGTCTTAGAGCACTTTTGTTAGTACTAGAGGCTTTATAATATCATGCATTTAGTACTTGTTTAAATAATTAACTAGTTGGCAGTTGTGGGTCATCGTCAAGATGAGACTATCACCAGTCTTTTCTGTTCATTTTACACTTTAGTTTGCTCAATTTGTACTTGGGTTAGAATTTTGCTCCTCTGGAATTGCTGTTTTTTGATATATCGTTCGATTTAACCTTACAGGAGGTGTAAATTACTGTGCATTTTGAAACTATTCTTGTAGTTACCTCGGATCATATCATTAGTTGATTAATCTGGAGCAGTAAATACACATGTAGGTAAGGAAACTAAGTACACCACACATATTATGCAATTGTGGCTCCTGCGGTTGGACAATAAAGATATTTATGTAAAATTTGGGCTACTACAAACTGTACCCTTTTTATAGTTGTGGTATCATCTTTCTGCAGGATCTTCATGGATGGTTCTTACAAGATCATTTCTCGAGTTCTGTATTTTGGGGTGGGATAGTCTCCCATGAATTCTTCCCTTTGTGAAATGGGATGATCCTCCAAAGGCACTGCCAAATTCTGACGAAATGATCCAGGGTGGAGCCCTTTTTGCTCATAAAAATGACCCTGACCTTGATAAAACTTGTAAGAAAGTCTTGAGAAGATTTGATGGCCTATTGACACCAGGAGGTTGGTGTGCAGGAACTTCTGGACTGAAGAAAGATCCTTATGTGGTACACGGGATTTCAGATACGGTTAGGCCATCCGCAAGTTCAAAAATATTGGAGAAACTAATACTTAAAGCTTCTTGATTCTGAGAATTTCAGGTCAAAACAGTGTAAATGATTATGGAATGCCATACTTTGTTCATGAATCTTTTCACTTTGTACTTGAAAGTGTATGGGGATCTTAATTTAAATTCCATATATAATTGGAAAACAAAGATCTTGCAATACTTGAATATACTTGTTTTGTACCGTGTACGTTGATGAGTTAATAGTTATAGATGGAGAAAAATGCACGATTCTTTATTTAGCAAAATTTATAAATAATTTATAAA